TTTACAGAAACATGGGCTGTGCCACGGGGGAGTGACTCCCTGTCCCCTAGCAGTCACTGCCTGTAGCTCCTCAGGTCCGGGCAGAGCTCACACCCTTCCCTGCCCATGATGGAGTGTTGGTAGGCCACTGCAGCTGCTGTGGCTTCACGGGCACAGTGGCTGTGTCACGTCCAGAGGACAGCGTTTCATAGTGCTCCCCAGCCTCTGGCTTAGAGCTCTTCCTTCCCCCTCCTCCTCATTGAATTTTAAAAGAACACTTGTATGTGGCTCTAAAAATGTGTGAGCCCGAGACTCACTGAGGTAGTTAGCCCTGGGGAAGGCCGTCGGTTTCCTGGCGGAGCCCCTAACCCGGCTGCACTCCAGACCCCCTTTGTGACTCACTCCCGTCCTTCCACTGCCTTAGGACAGCAGTTGGGATGCATCCCCAGATTTTGTCACCTCTGGGCCCTCCACATTAATGGAGTCTTGGAGCTTTGCCACTGAAGGACAGGAAGATTCAGGGAAAAGATGCCACAAATCACCTGATGAGGGAGTATATCCAGAGTAGAGACTTAGAATGCAACAGCAAAAACAAAAAACAACCAAAATGGGCGAGGGTGGGCAGGCGTGTGGGTGGGCCTAGAGAGAAGGCTCTGCTTTAATTTGCAGCCCCCATGTCAGGCCGCTCACAGCCGCCCGTAACTCCAGCCCCAGGAGAGCCCATGCCCACATAAATTGTTAAAAAATTGGTGGGCAGGGTCTAGAGACACAGCTCAGCAGTTAAGTGTGCATACTGTTCTTGCAGAAAACCTGAGTCCAATTCCCAGCACTCACATTTGATGACTCACAACTGCCCGTAACTCCAGCTTCAGGGCATCCGATGCCTCTGACGTCCAAGGGCAGTGACATGCGCACATACCCACAGGGACTGGAGGCATGGCTCAGTGGTAAAACACTCAGCTAATTTGCATGAGGCTTTTTTCTCCATCCGAAAGGCAACGAGCCTTAAGACACGCCCAAAGTGGGGTAGTGACTGTCATGCACCTGAGACAGTGCCAGGTGACTGATTGACACTGCAACTCAAAACCAGCAGTTCCATGCCAGGCGGTGGAGCAAGCTGTCATCATCCCCCCAGAGGACAAGGCAGGGAAGTCTCCACCAACACAAGGGTAGAGTAAATTATTTCAAAAACAACATAAATCCAGTCCATCAAAAGTAACTGCTAAAGTTCTGGGTGGGGACATTGGTCACTTACCCATTGCTGCTGGGCATCTAAAATATTGCCACTTTGGGCAACAGTTCCTCAAAAACAAGATTACCACATGACTGGTGAGTTTCATTCCCAGGAATCTACAAATTTATGGGAACATGCCCACACAAAGTTGTATGCAAATATGTGTAGCAATGTTCCTAATATGCAAAAAGTAAAAACACCCAAAATCCCCAGCTGCTTCGTAAAAAAAGAAAAATAAAGTCTGGGCCGAGCGGTGGTGGCACACACCTTTAATCCCAGCACCCGGGAGGCAGAAGCAGGTGGATCTCTGTGAGTTCGAGGCCAGGCTGGACCAACAGCCTCCAAAACAATACAGAGAAACCCTGTCTCGTAAAACCAAAAAAAAAGTCTGGTTTAGAATATTCATCCTAAAGGGTGAAGCGTTAGCATGTGAGCCCTGCAAAGATGCCAGATAAAGAACACAGGCAACAGGGTGTAACTTGTATTCACAGGTTGAGGCAGGGGGACCCTGGATCCCAGTCCCATGCCAGGCCCAGTGAGTGTCCTGGTTGTTTTTCTGGTGGTGGTGGCTGTTTGTTTGTATTGTCAACTTGACAAAAGCTACATTCGGGAAGAGGGAACCCTAATTGAAAAAAACATCAGATTCTTGATTGATGTGAGAGGTCCTAGTCCATTGTGGGCGGTGCCATCCCTGGGGTGCAGGGTGTGTAAGAAAGCCATCAGACACCCCTCAGTAATACGCAGCATTACACCATGGCTTCCTGCCTTGAGTTCCCACCCTGACCTCTCAAGTGATGGAGAGTGACCCGAGAGTTGTAAGATGAAATAAACCCTTTCCTCCAGAGCTGCGTTTGGTCATGGGGTTTTATCACATCGATAGAAACCCTAGTTAAGATACTGAGTAACTCCAGGCGTGGTAGTGTATGCCTTTAATACTGTATTTGGGAGGCAGAGGCAGACAGAGCTTTGTGAGTTCAAGGCCAGCCTGGTCTACAAAGCCAGTTCCAGGACAGCCAGGGCTTAAAAAAAATACTGAATAGCATAGACCTGTCTCAGAGAACTTAGCTGAGGGACCTACAAAATGGCTCTAGGTAGGTGAATTTGCATTTGCCACCAAGCCTGATGACCCTAGCTCAGTCTTCAGATTCCACCTTGTGGAAAGAGGAATTACTACAAGCTGACCACACACACACACACACACACACACACACACACACACACACACACACAGCTTCCCTCCTCCCATGCATAAGTAAATGTAATGAACACTTTGATTACAGGCTGGGTTTAAGGCCCAGCCTGGGCAGAGCAAGAGAGACAGGGTGGGCTGTCACTCCCCAGCATGCAGGAGGCCCCGGGGTCCAATTCCCAGTAGAAATTTTTTGTTTTAAAGTTTGATTTGGGGATTCCTTGAACTTGAGGGTTTAGTGGATGGTAGAGTGTCTGCCTAGCAAATGCAAGGCCATGGGTTTGGTACCCAGCGCTAAAACTAGATAGATAGATGATTGATTGATTGATGGATGGATAGACAGATAATGGATTAACTAGATAGATGATAGATAGATAGACAGACAGACAGATAGGAAAGAGAGCTGAGGGTATAGCTTTGTGGAATGTTTGCCTGGAATGCAAGTCCTAGCTTTAGTCTTTACTTCTTCAACTCAACAATAAAGCCCACTGCGATACAGTGTCTGTTACAGTCAAAGCACTGACAGACAGAAGGTAGGTCTGGAGTTGGTGGGTGAGTGAGTGGGGAGGGCTGAGGAGGAAGTGTTGAAGGCCGTTTTCCCATTCGGGATGATGAAGGATTTGATGTTAGTACTAATGGCTGTGCAGCTTCATAAATACCTTTTCGAGGCAGGGTTTCTCTGTATTGTTTTGGAGGCTGTCCTGGAATCTGCTCTGTAGACCAGGCTGGCCTCGAACTCACAGAGATCCGCCTGCCTCTGCCTCCCGAGTGCTGGGATTAAAGGCATGCGCCACCAACGCCCGGCTTTTTTTTTTTTGTCGTTAGGGGACCACACCCAGCACAGTTACGTAACACATGCAAGGTTCTGTGTACCCACCCAGGTCTTCAAAAGCAAACAAAACAGCACGGACATGCTGGCGTAGTAGTACACTCCTGACTCCCAGAATTCGGGAGAATGAGACCAGAGCATCAGGAAACCAAGGCCAGCCTGAACTACATAGCAAGAGTTACAAGCCAGCCAGAGATTCTTAGCAAGATCTGTCTCAATAAAACGAGCCTACACACACATAGACGGGTCTTGTAGCAGTATGTATGTATGTATGTATGTATGTATGTATGTATGTATGTGTATATATAAATGAACCAACAACCAGGGAGTCTGCATGGGACTGACCTAGGCCCTCTGCATGTGTTACAGTTGTGTGGCTTGGTCCTCTTGTGGGACCCCTGACAGTGGCAGCAGAGGTGGATGGGGGAGGGGAACAGAGGAGAGGTAGGGAGAAAGGGCTGGGAGGAGAGGAGGGAGGGGACACTTCCACTGGGATGGAAAACTTAAAGGAATGCACAGGAGAGGGAGGGAGGGGACACTTCCACCGGGATGGAAAACTTAAAGGAATGCACAGGGGAGGGAGAGAGCTGGGGCTACTATGTAAAATGAAAAATGGTAAAGAAAAAAAGAACACATAGTGTTGTTAATTAGGGAACCAGGGCCGGCGCGATGGACGGAGCACATGGAGAGCATATTAATCATAGTTTATTATAGCGAGACTGAACGGGGGGGGGGGGGAGACAGACATGACACACAGAGAGAGAGGGGGGGTCTGTTCTTTTAAAGGGGTCTTTGCACCTGCGTGCAGACTGGTTCTCATGGAACTCCGGGCTGGCCAGAGCGCTGCCTGAGTGCATCCTGCCAGGTGACAGGGCAGGCCAGCGTAATGCCCGAACCTTTCACATAGATTAAGGGCTGGGGCGTCCCTCAGTTGGCAGAGATTTTGGCTAGCATGCACAAGGCCCTGGGTCCCATCCCAGCACCGTAGACCAGAAGCTGCTGTGCCCACCTGTGATCCCAGCAGTTGGGACGGGAAGGCAGGAGCCTCAGGAGTTCAGAGGTCCCCCCTGTCACAGTGAGTCTGAGGTCAGAGCTCAGAGGTCACCCCCTGTCACAGTGAGTCTGAGGCCAGAGCTCAGAGGTCACCCCCTGTCACAGTGAGTCTGAGGCCAGCTGGGACTGCATGAGACTCTCTCAAAAATAAACAAACAAGCAGGGCAGTGGTGGCACATGCCTTTAATCCCAGCACTCAGGAGGCAGAGGCAGGAGGATCAAAGCCAGCCTGGTCTACAAGAGCTAGTTCCAGGACAGCCAGGGCTACACAGAGAAACTCTGTCTTGAAAAATCTAAATAGATAAACAAACACATTTGAACCGACATAGAATGAGACTTAAAGGGTTTGCCTAAGTGAAAAGTTTGTCAGTCCTCAAAGGCTGTTCCATCCTTTGGGGGTTAAGGTCTTCCCCCTGGAGAAGGACTTGGAGGTTCAGAGCTGAGGAAGATGAGGCTCTGTGGGGCACAGGATACATGGGCAGCACTGTCTGGGAGCTGCTTTGGGGCTGGAGCAGGTCAGGGCCAGCCTACCCTAGGCTTGCTCCCCTCTCCTCACTTCTGGGTGGGAATGGATGGCCAGAGGGTGGCTCCTGGCACCCAGAGTTCAGGAATCTCAGGCATGTGGTTCCGGGCCCAGATAGAGGAAGGCAGCCTCCCTCCTAGGGGCAGGGAATTAGGTGGTACCACAATCTAGACGTCAGCTCTGGGATGGGGGTGCTGGAGGTCATGTGAAGGCCTGTATCCTAAATGGTCTTTTTCCCATAGTTCTGGGGCAGAGCCCATGCTGGAGCCCACCTAGCCCCTCCCCGTGATGGGCCGGATTCACTGGGAGGGGGGAGGGGTGGATCATATTTTCAGGTCTTTCCTGCTCTCCTGGCAGCCCAAGTATCCAGCAGCTGTAGGCCAGAGGTGTTGGAGGTGGGGTGTGACAGGACCAGCCCCGGAGCCCGCCTCTGCGCCTCTGAGGTCGGTAAGTGCTGCAGTCATGGGGCTCACTCGGAGGAAGCCTCACCCTCGGCCCCTGCTCCTCCTGGTGCTGATATGGCTCTCCCGAAGCCTGAGTCTGGGTGAGTGGAACCCTGAAATGGATGCTATTGGGCCTGGGGCACCCCTTGAGCTGGGAGGAGGGGTTGAGGGAGGCATACAGAACTGCCATGTCTACCTTGCTTCCCGCCTTTGTCCCCATGGCCACAGACCTGGTTCCCTACAAGCCACAGATAACAGCCTGGGACCTGGAAGGGAAGGTCACAGCCACCACCTTCTGTCTGGAACAGCCTCGGTGCATCTTCGATGAGCATGCCTCAGCCAACGACACCATCTGGCTAGTGGTGGCTCTCAGCAATGGTGTGTGGTGAGGACAGGTGTCGGGGTGAGAGGCATGGGCTGAGAGAGTGGGGTGCTTGGCGGGTAGCGATGTTGACTTTGCCTCTGGGTGACCAGCCCAAGGTGGGTAAACTCCTCCAGGGTCAGCAGGGACAGCCTCTCCCTCTTTTTCTTCTCTTTCTTTCTCTCTCTCTTTCTTTTTTTAGGCAGGCTCCCCTGTAGCCCAGGAGGAAGGCCTTAAACTTCTGATCTTGTGGCCTCCACCTTGCAGGTTCTGGAATGGTGGGCATGCACAACCACGCCCAATTCATTGTGCATTCCTGGGCAATGCTCTGCCAACTGGAGTATTAAACCACAGCTTGCCCCTTTGAGACGCTGGTCACTCTAGGACAGTGGCTCTCCACCTTCCTAATGCAGCGACCCTTTAATACAGTTACTCATGCTGTGATGACCCACGACTGCAACATTATTTCATTGCTACCTCATAGCTGTAATTTCGCTGCTGTTGTGGATCCTGATGTAAATGTCTGGTATTCAGGGTATCCTGTGAAAGGGCTGTCTGACCCCCCAAAGGCAAGGCGTCATGACCCACATGTTGAGAAGCGCTACTCTAAGATATCCCTTTATGTCACCTGGAGAAACCAGGCCATGCCCCCTGCAGATCTCGCCCTGGGACAGAAGCAAGCGGCTGCTCTCTATTCCTTTAAAATCATTGTTTATGTATGTGTCAGCCCAGGGGTGTTCACGTGGAATTCAGAGGTCAGTGTGGGGGAGTCAGTTCTCTTCCTCCAACACGTGGGTCCCGGGGGGTCAAACTCGGGCATCAGGTTAGGCAGCCTTTGTCACCATCTGCAGTAGTGAAGCTACTGACTGCCAGGGCCCTGCTCTTGCCTCTCTCTGACCCTTGTCCCTCCAGCCTCCAGGGACTTCCAGAACCCACAGACCCCTGCTGAGATCCCGACCTCCCCACAGCTGCTGACTCACGGCCACTATATGACATTACCCCTGTCCCTGGACCAGCTGCCCTGTGAGGATCCGGCAGGGGGCAGTGGAGGTATCCCCGTGCTTCGGGTGGGCAATGACGTTGGCTGTTACCAGGAGCACTATTGCAATGCTCCCCTCCCCAGCCAGGGGCCTTACAGGTGGGTTTTCAGGAGCCCCTGCCCTGGGACTGGGTGATTTCAGGGAGGGGGGAAGAAAGTCTTGGACTAGGATTCAGACCCTGCCCCTTCCGGGCCTTCTGGATGTTGGCCATTCGTAGCTCCTCCCCCGTGGTAGCGTAGTTTACTTTCTTTGCATAGCGGGCCATCAAAAAGACCTTTCCGTAAGTTGGTTGTAGTGACACACTCATGTGATCCCAGCACTCTGGAGGCAGAGACAGCAGGATCGTAGGTTCAAGGCCGGCTGCAGCTACATGAATTTGAGGCAGCTGATCGTAAGACTGTGTTAAAACAGAGGTCATCAGGCTGGGGATGCAGCTCAGTCGATAGTGTTTATTTTGTGTGTGTGAAGCCCTGGACCATCCCAGCACGGCATCCCAGCACCAGGAGTGGTGGTGCATGCTGGGAGTCCCAGCGCTCTAGAGGTGACAAGGCAGCAGAGACAGGAGTATAAGTTATTCTCCACTGTATATTGAATTCGAGGCTAGCCTGGGCTACATGAGACTCAATCCCAAAGAAAGGAAAACGAGCGAGCGTCCTTCCCAAATGTGTCCTAAGGGGGGAAAGTGGGTTTCAGGACGGGGCCATTGTCTCTGGTCATAAGCAGATCTGACAGAATACACGACTTCCCAACCCATAGTGCAGATGAAGAAACTGAGGCCTGTTGTACTAGCATTCAAGCAAGGTTCTCTTCAGCGCCCATCATGAGATGAAGATCCCAGGTGTCCTCGGAGAGACTCAGGAGATGGCATCTCTGTCCGTCCAGCTTCCCCGCTCCTTTACCAAAGCTCGCATCGCGCCTTTCTCGCGGCAGCTCCACCCCGCCCCCTTCCCAACAGCCACCAGTGCTGTCTTCCCTCCGTCTACTCTACCCGGCCCACCGTGTTCTCTTCCCAGAGCTTCCGCCCCTGAAAGATAGCAGTGTGCCAAGGCCTCCCCATCCCTGCTGTCCAGGACCTCAAGGCTCCCAGCAGGCCCTGACCACACCCCCAGCCCCACCCCTATGCCTTTGTCAGGCTCTTAATTTGAGGTCTGCCTTCTTGTCTCATGGGTGGTTCCTATAGACTCCAGAAACCAATATTTCCATTTTGTTGTACTGGCATTGACCCCAAGAGCTTCGACATTCTAGGCAGGCGCCGAACCGCTGAGCCACACCCCAGCCCCTCACTGGGGGACTCTAGGCAGGTGCTCTACCACTGAGCCACACCCCAGCCCCTCACTGGGGGATTCTAGGCAGGGGCTCTACCACTGAGCTGAATTCTCAACACGTTTTTTCCTTTGGTTTTGAGACAAGGTCTTGCAATGTAGCCAGCAGGCATTGAACTTAGGGTTCTCTTCCCTCAGCCTACAGAGTACCTGGGATGTTAGGCCTGGGCCACTATGCACAGCTTGAGTCGTTCGAGTCTTACTTTTGTCCCCATTGCTTTCCTGTCTCCAGTGTGAAGTTCCTTCTGATGGATGCCAGTGGCCCGCCCAAGGCTGAGACGAAGTGGTCCAATCCCATTTATCTCCATCAAGGTAGTGCTGGGGTGAGGGATCCAAGACTGATTTAACCCCTACCTGAACCTCACGCTATAGAGTGGGACCTGGGTCAGATCCATCACAGTGGCACCAAACTTTTTTTTGGTTTTGTTATCAGTATTAGACACTGAATCTTACGAATGCCAAGGAAGGGGGATTCTAGGCAGGGGCTCTACCACTAAGCCATGACCCTACCCACTCACTGGGGAATTCTAGGCAGGTGCTTTACCACTGAGCCACACCCCAGCCCCTCACTGGGGGATTCTAGGCAGGTGCTCTACCACTGAGCCACACCCCAGCCCCTCACTGGGGGATTCTAGGCAAGTGCTCTACCACTGAAGTACATCCCCAGCCCTTTTTTACTTTATATATTGAGATAGGGTCTGAGTTGTCCAAGCTGGCCTTGACTGTCCTCTGTAGCCCAGCATGGTCTGTACTTGGGATCCCCTGCCTCACCCTTCCAGGTGGCTGAGGTTACAGACTGCAGCACCAGTCCATCTCAGCATCCACCCACCCTTGCTTAGCTGCCCCGCCCCTGCCTCCTTAGCCCAGGTCCTCTCCACTGCGTGCAAGGGTCATCTTCCCATAAGAGCCAGGGTTGGCAGTGCGGTTGCCTTAGGAGACAGGCTACCAAGGCAGTCGGGTGGGGTGACAGACGACTGTCATTTGAAGGCAGGGACCACCACCATGGTGACAAGGCGAGTCCTGAGATCTGCCTGCTGCATGTGGGCAGTGGCAGGGAACTGGGGGGAGTAGTCTAGAAAGTGACTCCAGTGTAGAAGAGGTTGGAACAATGGCTGATCCAGGCTGGTGGAGATGGACAAGGTAGGTAGGCTCAGGAGACGCGCAGCCAAGCCTTGAAGCACGTTGAACTTGAGACAGGCTTGGGGTGAATGGACAGCCTCTGAGTGTTTCCCATGTGTGCAGGGAAGGCCCCCAGCTCCATCGACACGTGGCCCGGTCGGCGGAGTGGCTGTGTGATTGTCATAACTTCCATCCTCTCCGCGCTGGCCGGCCTCTTGCTCCTGGCTTTCCTGGCAGCCTCCACTGTGCGATTGTGAGTGACGACCCCTGAGGGCTCCTTTTCCACTTGGGACCCCCTCCCTGTCCGGTGATTCCTAGATCCCGGAAGCCTCTCGCGAATACAGGGGTGCTGAGCTGGCTGGTGTCCCCCAGCCACTCTGCCTGTTTCCTAGGTGACGGCAGCTCACCTGACGACAGGGTCCAGGGGGATGTGCCTTCTGCCAGCCTCTTCCCCGGCCTTTATCTTTTCTCCATGGGCCCCTGGAGTGTGTTCGTAACTGCCACTGAGGTAGATAATAAGAGCAGCACCTGGAAGAGGCGTCTCTAGCTGGCTCCAAAACAGAGGGAGAGAGACCAGGGGGTGGTTCAGTGAGTGTAGGGCTCGGTGCACCAACAAGGACCCAAGTTCAGAGCCCAGCACCCACATAAACCCAGCACCCAGATAAACCCAGCACCCACATAAAACCCAGCACCCACATAAACACAGCACCCACATAAACCCAGCACCCAGATAAACCCAGCACCCACATAAACACAGCACCCACATAAACCCAGCACCCACATAAAACCCAGCACCCACATAAACACAGCACCCACATAAACACAGCACCCACATAAACACAGCACCCACATAAACACAGCACCCACATAAGACCCAATTACGGCCGTGCGTGTCTGTAACCTAACCTGGGGAGGTGACTCCCCAGCATCTGTGCCAGCCACCCTGTCTTAAAAAGACAAGGTCGTCAGGATGGCTCAGTGGGTAAAGTCCCTTGCCACCAAGCATGATAGCCGGAGTTTGATCCCCAGGCCCTCACTGTGGAAGGAGAGAACTGACTCCTGAGAATTGTCCTCTGACCTCCTCACACCGTGGCATGTGCACCCCCAACAGACGAAGTTAAAAGAAAAGGATCAAGTATGGAGCGATGGAGAGACACCCAACTCAAGCACTGGCCTCCACACTCACGGGCATATACACACATGTATGTGAACCTATGAGCACACATACATACATGTGAACCCATGTGCATATACACATGCTTGTGAACCCATGTGCACACACACATACATGTGAACCCATGTGCACACACACATGCTTGGGAAACCATGTGCACACATACATGTGAACCCATGTGCACACACACATACATGTGAAACCCATGTGCACACACACATGCTTGGGAAACCATGTGCACACACACGCATACATGTGAACCCATGTGCACACACACATACATGTGAACCCATGTGCACACACACATACACTACACGTTTTGTGTACCAAATAACAAGGAGGCAGGTGAGGGGACAGGCTGTCGCATGGCAGCTTCCGGGTGGGGATGTAACGTGCCCCTCTTTCTTCTGTCGTGTGCAGCTCCAGCCTGTGGTGGCCAGAGGAAGCCCCAGAGCAGCTGCGCATTGGCTCCTTCATGGGCAAACGCTACGTGACGCACCATATCCCCCCCAGCGAGGCTGCCACACTGCCCGTGGGCTGTGAGCCTAGCCTGGACCCGCTCCCCAGTCTCAGCCCGTAGCCTGGGGTCTGCAGCTCGGGCCTGGGGTGAGGGGCGGAGAGCAGGGGCGGGCCCCGAGGGCGGGGCGTCTGGCCTCGTCACAGCCCCGTAGCTGCCTGGCTGGTTTATCTCCGGCTTCTGGTTCTGTCCCTCGCTAGGCCTCTGTCTGTAAGTGCATTTCCAGAGGATCAGGGTCACGTTGGGGTCTGCTTAACTTCCTTCCTGTGAGACCGGAGGAGGCGGGTAGTCCACCCTGGCCTTCACCGGACTTCAGAGAACGGGGAGCAGATGGGCGTGAGGGCACAGAGCTGTGACCCCACGCTCAGGGGGCTGAAGCAGGAGCGTCATGTGCTCCGGGCCAGTCTGGCTCTAGAGTGGGAGCCTGTCTCAAAACAAGCAAGACCCCCCCCCCCCGCCCCAGGATGCCTTGCTCTGCTGCAGTTAGTAGGTTGGGCTGGGCCCAACATGAGACTTCCAAGGCTCCGACTTCCGCCCTACCCAGCCACCAGGCTGGATGCATCTGCACCCTGTCCCCGAGCCTGGCCCTTCCTGAGGACGGACTCACCCGCGTCAAGGTGAGGTGCAAGTGGCTATCAGTGACAGCCCGGCTACCTGTGCCCGCCGCTCGCTCTGCACGCATCGCTCTCTGCGCATCATTCATCGCGCACCTGCTGTGTGCCGCACCGTGTTAGACAGCCTCGGGCAGAGCTGGCCGTGACTTCGGGGAGTCCACCTTGCTTTGACTCTCGGGCCGACTCCCGTCCAGGTGTGGGATCTGTTACTGCTGAGGAGATGCCATGCCCTCAAACTGTCCTCAGGGCCACACCCTCTCAGTTACCACGGAGACCCTTTGGGACCCGCAGTTCTTCCATCGAAGGAAAAGCTCTCCAGGACCACGCCGGTGGTTCCTGCCATCGCCACCTGGGGGCGCCCGTGCGCTGAGGCCGTGTGGCAGCAGGACCCGCGCACGCGTTCCTGCTAGCATGCGCTCGCTACCCTGACCATCGCGTGCCTGCTCCGTCCTCTCAGGGGTCGGGGAAGCGTGTATTCCCAGCCTCAGCCAGGTCAAGCCCGCCCAGCTATCCGGTTCTCTCCGACGGCGACACCCGGGGCTCAGTAACTTGCCGGCCCACACTGTCCAGCCACCCTACCCCATGTCCTGCCGCGCCGGTCTGATCAAGCTCCAGGGAAGTTAATAAATGTTACTGTGTAGCCCACGCGGGTTCTGTAATAACAGGAGCGTGCAGCGCGTGATCCCGGCGTCGTCTCTTGTGGGTCCTTTGATCGCCCGCCGGCGCAAGCTTCAGGGCAGGCCGCTCTTCATCAAGCCAATAAGCCCTTGCCTCTGAGGCGTGTCCTCCGCGCCCCCAGCACTCAGGTGACCCCCCGGGGTGTAGACAGAAGCGACACTCGGCCAGATGCTTCACTGGCCAGAGAAACAGCGAGCGTGGAGCAACTTTTGGAATTGCACTAGACGGGAGCCCAGGGCCCTGTAGACCCGGAGAGGGTTGCCGTGGGGTGATTCCCGCCGCCGCCACACGGGGGCGAGAGTGTGCCGTGGCCACCTCTGCAAAGTAGTGAGTGAATGGAAGGTGGCGGCACAGGTGGCGGTAGCGGGAGGTTGGGGCCCCAAGACAGGAGAGTAACTGTGATTTTTGAGGCCAGCATTGGGGAGATGGAAGCAGGAGGGTTAGGAGTTCAAGATCACACGCACAGTTTGAGGCAGACACACACACACACACACACACACGAAAATGGAGACCTTTGCGCACCAAATATGGGTGTACTACCCCAGCGAGAGTTCCAGCAGATTCTCAGATAATGGAGTTCTGGGGAGATATCCGTGTGTGTGTTTGCTTGGAGAGAGAAGAGAGGTCTAATTGTGTGTGTGTGTGTGTGTGTGTGTGTGTGTGTGTGGTGTGTGTGTGTGTGTGTGTGTGTCGAAACAGGATTATATGTTAGCTCACGCTGGCCTTGAACTCACCATGCTCTTTTCTCAGTTACTAGAGTGACAGGTATACAGGATATCTACTTGATAATGTCTAATTTTCTTGTTCTTTTTCTTACCATAAGAAAATAACACAACCTTCCTTTAAAAAAATTTTTGGACTGGGTGGTACCTTTAATCCCAGCACTCAGGAGGCAGAGGCAGGAGGATCTCAATGAATTTGAGTTCAGCCTGGTCTACAGAGTGAGGTCCAGGACAGCCAGAGAAACCCTGTCTCAAAAAAGAACAGCTTTGTGTGTGAGTGGCATGCCTGCATGCATGTGTGTACCCACATTCATGCCTGGTGCCCACGGAGGTCAGAAGGGGAGTTGATTCCCCGGAACTGAGGTTACAGGCAGTTGGGAGCCACCATGTGGGCCTGAGCACAAGCTCCACAGAGTTGGCCTTTGACCTCCACGTCTAACGCGGGGCACCCCCCCCGTCCTGCAGAGGAATGGTAATGTGGAAGGGGAGGACGCTGGAGCGGTGGCTCAGCAGTTAAGAGCATTTACAGTTCTTCCAGGAGACCCGAGTTTGCTTCCCAGCACCCACAGCAGCTCGAGACTGCCTGCAGCTCCAGTTCCGGGGGATCCAGTCCGCTAAAGGCACCTTTGAGAGCCCACAAGAACTTGCACACACATACATGTGCACACACATGCACACTGTGCACATGCATCTAAGTAAATTAAAAAAAAAAACACCTCAGCATAGTGTGATGGCACACGTCTTTAATCCCAGTACTCAGGAGGTAGCGGCAGAGATGGGTTCGAGGCCAGCCTTGTCTACATAGCAAATTTCAACAGTGACCTAGAGAGATCCTGTTTAAAAAAATAAAATAAAAGAATTAGCCGGCCATTGGTGGCGCACGCCTTTAATCCCAGCACTCGGGAGGCAGAGGCAGGTGGATCTCTGTGAGTTTGAGACCAGCCTGGACTACCAAGTGAGTTCCAGGACAGCCTCCAAAGCCACAGAGAAACCCTGTCTCGAAAAACCAAAAAAAAAAAAAATTAAAACTGTCCTTGAACGCACAGCCCAGCTGTTCCTCCCAGCTGTTCCAGGGACATCTTCCCCAGCCCCATGAGAACTTGAACGCCGCAGTGGGATGAACTGAACTACCAAAGAGTGCATGCGTCTCTCCAAGAGCTGTGGAGGAGATGGATAACACGGTGCTGACAGCTCCCGCTCAGCCGGGAGAATGCTGTCTTGATAGCCAGTCAACAGCACAAGGGTGTTGGCAAACTGCTAATGTTTTGTGAGGGCGGATTCCTACCTCAGGTCATCTGGAGGCCTCTGTGGGAAGCCACCCAGTGGACACCCTGCCCTAGGCTACGCCAGCTGAGGTGTCACAGAATCTGCTATGTGGGCTCCTTCAAACCCTGGCAGGACTTTCTGCCCAGAGTTCCGCACACCAGGAACTCCAGGCAGTCCCCAGCCTTGGGATGAGTCTTCAGGTCTCCAGTGCCAACCAGATTGTGAAGAGGTTTCTTTGGTTTGTTTACGTGTTTTTGTTTTGAGACAATGTCTCACCATGTTGCCCTGGCTGATCTGGAACTCACTGTGTAGACCAGGCTGGCCTTGAACTCATGGACACCTGAATGCCACTACCTCCTGAATGCGGGGATTAAAGGTGTGGGTCACCACACCTGCATTTGTCCCTTCTTTTTGAGACAGGGTCTTGCTATGTAATCCAGGCTGACATCCAACTTGTGATTTTCCTGCCCCCACCTCCCAAGTGTAAGTCACCATGCCCAGTGGGAAGAATTGTATGTTTTTTGTTTTTGTTTTTGTTTTTTTTTTTTGATTTTTCCAGACAGGGTTTCTCTGTGGCTTTGGAGGCTGTCCTGGCACTCGCTCTGTAGACCAGGCTGGCCTCGAACTCACAGAGATCCGCCTGTCTCTGCCTCCCGAGTGCTGGGATTAAAGGCCTGCGCCACCAACGCCTGGAGAATTGTATATTTTTATCATTACCATATTGTGGTGCTAGGGGTTACACTCAGGGCCCCCCACATGCTAGGCAGGTGCTCTACTCCTGAGCCACACCCCAGCCCCTCACTGGGGGATTCTAGGCAGGTGCTCTACCACTGAGAAACACCTCCAACCCCTCCCTGGGGGCCTCTAGGTAGTGGCTTTACTACTGTCTCTAGTGTCTAGAACTTTTTATTAAACGACTTTTTTTTTAATGATCCCCGAGGACACTATATAAGGGAGTGCCATGACACCCGCTGGGCCGCAACTTCATGGCTCATCAGCCAGAAACAAGTTCTTTGTGAGAAAGGGCAAACGCCAGGACTAAGGGGTGTGATTCATCAGTCAGCAGATCGTAGCTGTTAGAACCTAGAGTGGGAGCGACTAGCACAGCTCCCTCGCCCTCTCATCTGTCACTAAAGGCTCTTGCTGCCAAGCCTCAGGACACAAACCCAGGCCCCAGAACCCACGTGAGGAATGAGAGAACAGACTCCTAAACGTTGTCGTCTGACACATGTGCTGGGGCAGGCGGGCAGTCCCCTTAATCTACACACACACACACATAAATAAATAAATGCAGTAGAGGCTTGCTAGGGGGTGGAGAGAGAGGCTCCGTCGTTAAGAAAACTGTCTGCTCCAAAGGACTCTGCCCCACCCACCGTGGTGGCTCACAGCCATCTCTAACGCCAATTCCAGGGGTCCGATGACCTCCGACCTCTGTAGATACCAGGCACACAGCCGGTGCACATACATGCATACACACAGGCAAAACACCCATACTCATATAATAAGATAATTTAAAAATATCTTTGGGCAGATGGTGGTAGCACAGGCCTTTAGTCCCAGAAGTCTGGAGGCAGAGGCCAGCCTGGTCTACAGAGGGAGTTCCAGGACACTCAGGGCTACACAGAGAAACCCTGTCTCGAAAAACAAAGCAAGAAACTTTTTTTTTGAAGATATGCCTATAATTCTAGCATTGGGGGTCTTAAGGAGGAAGATTACTTCAAGTTCTAGGTCAGCCTGGGCTATAGAGTAAGACCCTGTTTTGAAAGAGAGAGAGAGGAGAGGGAGGGGGAAGAGGAGGAGGAGGAGGGGGAAGAGGGGAGGAGGAGGGGGAGGAGGGGGAAGAGGGGAGGAGGAGGGGGAGGGGAGGAGACAGGCACAGCATGCGGATTTGTGACATGGATGAGGTCAGAAGGCAGAGGTCAGACAGGTATAGCTAGAAAAGCCAGAGCTACTGAACATGGCACCCCTGACCCTGCACCTCCCTCCGTCCCTCTCTGCTTGGCCCAGCCCAGAGGTCTTGGAATCCCAGGAGAGCCCTGGGAGTAAGGCAGGAGCCACACCCCTCTCTCTGCCTCATTTGCTGTACCCACCTTTCCTGGCTCAGGGTCCCCTCCGCAAGGTGAACATTTATCTAACCCAGAAGATGTCCTCTTGGCATCCCGAAACTCCACTCCTCGTGAGAGACACAGGCCAGAGGACCCAAGAGAAAGGAAACAGTGTGTTGTCCTGACAACGGTTCTTCTTCCTGGCTGCCCTCCAATGACGGGCCCGGAGGAATGCCGCATTAGTCACCCAGGCCTCGCCCTGGCCCTCTCCAGCCCTCAAGACCTATGCTCCTCAATGCAAAGAGCCCACGGTTCTCAAAGGGTTTCACGGAGCCCCTGGGCTCAGCGTGGCCCCCTCAGCCCCTGTGCCTGGACCCCCACCTGCGGCTCCATTCCTAAGCATCAGGGCCGGGGCAGCGGAAAAGTCCATGGGCGTAGTGCGCAGGGAACTGGTCCTCCAGGCATCTGTGACGCCTCTTCCCGGGCACACCCCTAGACACGGGGAAACTAGCCAAGACAGCCCGGAGCTGGGTGCCGTGATAGGGCCAACAGGAGCAGTATTGGGAGTCCAAGGGAGGCACCCGACCCAGAGCGAGGTTTTAGTGAGTGTGGAGCAGGAGAGTATGGGTCAGGTTTTCACTGCTGACTCAACCAGCCGGGAGAGGAAGGGGCGAGAAAGCACAAGTCAAGAAAGTGAGGTATCCACCCGCCGGGCGGTGGCCGCGCGTGCCTTTAATCCCAGCACTCGGGAGGCAGAGGCAGGCGGATCTCTGTGAGTTCGAGACCAACCTGGTCTACAGAGCAAGTTCCAGGACAGCCTCCAAAGCCACAGAGAAACCCTGTCTCGGAAAACAAAAACACAAAACAAAACAACAACAACAAAAAAAAAGAAAGTAAGGCATCGGGTCGGGAAAGATGGATCAGTTGTCAAGAG